GAAGACAACTCTCGGTGATTCATTGTCCCTTGCCAATGAGAGGGTACCGTCTTCCCGGTCCAAAAGAAAGTGCAAATGTGTTCCAACCAAAAACATTTGATTGGTAGAAGCCCCAAGAGGAGGAATAGTTTCTTGTGTGGGTAGAGAGTCGGCGTCATACACATCTTGCACTGCCCACACACTGTCAACGTGTTTACACATTGCTCCAAAGTGAGGTGCCAGTTCCTGAAAAGTGGAAACTACAATACCAGCAAAATGCCCAGATCCCAGTGAGTCCCCTCGTGTGCGGTCGGAACGATCCATCTGAATGACAAATGCAGACAATCCAGTCATTGAAAGAGGTGATCCGATAACTGCTTGACCACCCTCATTGCAACATCTGGCCGTGAGACCATTTCTGGAAACACTGACATTGTGAGGCTCGTATAAAACCCACTCTGGTAAGTAGGATCCAGGATCTGTTGCATCATCATTGAAGCACGTGACAGATCGGGCATTTTTTGCGGCACTTGGTGGGTGAAGATGAACAATCACCGGATTCGCCCCCACATTCATGACAGCTATCTTTGGCGGTAAACCTCTTGCTGAGGACAACCGAAGATCGTCTGAAGCAACATGACATCGTATGTTGTCATCCTCGTCGTAAATCAGAAAATCGCCATCTACAGTAAACGCGAGGCTAAGCACTTCATTCCGGGAAAGGCTGAAACTGCAACGAATAACATGATTTTGGATTTTTTCCAAAAAAACGGTAGTCATAGACTTGGGCACAATAACATGAATCTCCAAAAAAAAAATCTTCTCATTTGTTTCAGACGTCACCGAAAATTGCCAGAATCGGGGCTTCTCTCTTGGCCACTTTTCAAAATCAAACGATCCCTGAAAGATGCACCTCTTGTTTGGTTGCAGTTGAGCCGTATCACGACCACCCTCCCACATCCATCCGTCCACGGATTTGAGAGTCAAAGGGATCGAGGAGGGCAAATTCATTTTCTTCACAACCAAACACAAATGAATGCGGCCATCGCTGAAAATGCATAGGTGGTGCAAAGAAGAAGCCAATGTTGGCAATTCGCAATGAATAGGTCCTCCTTTAACGGCATAGTACATCTGGGATGATGACAACAAATCCTGTCGAGTACCATCTCGAAGTATAACCTCCAATGATACAGCAAAAACCTTCAACGGGGTATCTTTTTCAACGCGGAGCGGGAGATCTGAAAGAAACATAATTTTCCAAGAGTCGGAGATACGTGAGAAAGAAATAGACACAAATGCCCCCATAGTGTCATGATATCTAAAAGGGCAAACAAATCCAGGTGACTTTAGTTCCTCTGTCCCCTCAAAAAAGACTTCTGGTGATATTGTGTACTCCAAGTTGCAACGATCACAACAAGGCATATCAATACAGTTTTCAATTCTTGTCGTATGAGTTTTTGAATCAATGCAACACGTATGAGTTGTGGGATCAAGCAAAATGGATCTCGCACATACCGCACTAGCAACCAAACTCAAGCGACTTTGATGAAATACATACCTTGTAAAGATACTAATAATTTGATCCTCCTCACGCAAGAAAGGCACATGCCCTTTTCCAGTTTTTTGACAAATCCCCTCATTCGAAAAAGGTAGATTGCAATCCGGGCAGATGATGATAGGGATTAAATGATCTACAGAAAGAGTCACATGATGGTTGGGATTTGTCTCACACCTCGCCAATACATGCCAATTCTCGTTTGGATCATCAACGATTCGAACCATTTGTCCTGACAAATCCGTTTCAGTGGCATTCGCCACAAGTGCAAGATCACCCTTCCCAAAGGCATTGAAAGTTGTGGGTTTCTTCGTAAACAGGGGTAGCGTGACCACGCCGTCACGCAATTCCTCAACAAATTTTCCCCTCATCATACTACTCAGCAGATTTCCCGCAGCCTCTGCGTCACAAAATGCAGTTGTACTCGAAGTAGCGATTTTTGCTAAGAGGTCAATGACACTTTTATCCTCAAAAATTGTGGCGGCAAACGAGGCACCACCAACATACGCAATCAACGCCGCCAAAATGCGTGTCACCAACAAACCCTTCAATGCAGGAAAAACAGCCTGGTTGGGAGCCAAAGAAACCTTCTCCATAAAAGCACGGTAAGTGATGCGCCCTCGAAGTGCCCGAGGCTCCGCCGGAATTTCAGCAAAAGGTAACGGCGATTCACTTTTTTTACCTACAAAAATTGTTAGCATCCCATCATCCTCAAACTCATCCCCGACCTCCCCCAAATGGCCATCACTGCTATTGTAAAAGCGAACGCCACAACTTGAGGTGGTATTGATGTAAAGTGCGTACATTTGATTCGCTTGAAGATGTAAATTGAGAATTCCAGGAGAAAAGGACTGCTTGTCTGAGAGATGAAGATCTTTAGAGATGACTTCTTGCCATTGGCTTGCTGTTTTTTCGGCGCCTTCCATACTACCCTCTTTCCAAAAGACTCTTACATTTACATTGTCCGTTGTTGTCTGAGCAACACAAAAGACTTCTTCCAACAGAACATCCCTCTTACTTCGAACATCAAACATGATTCCATTGTATGATGCAGAATTGTTTTGGTTCAGACGTCCACCAGTAAAAATGGAACAAATCTCATTGCATGTCATGATGTTACTTGTGGTGGTGGCAACAATGTCACCCGCAAATCCCTGCGCACCATAAAAGCTATTCTTCACCACATAGCTCTCGTCACTGGATTGTATAAAACATGAAAGTTTGACGCCTTTTCCATCCTCCAAGACTCCCTTCAACTTTGAACAAATGGCCACAAATAAATACTTTCCTCTCTTCAATAATAGTGATAATCCATCCATGCAGAATTCACAAATGTCGTTCCGAAGAGGCAGCATAGCGTTATAAGCCCAAACCCATTCTCGCTCCGCGTTTTTCACACCAGAAATATCATCCAACGGGGAATAAAACAGAGACAAAGAAAGATGTGTGGGACCCATAGCATGCCTGACTCCAGCACCAATAAGGATAGGGAAAATAATCTTCTGAATCAAAATGGAGCCCTCAAAGACTTCAAGAAGAAATTCCGCATTTGAAACCAAACGAGTCGATACAGGAATACTTCGAAGAAAAATAGCATCACCATATCTCTCATTTTTATTCTGAAGACATCCCAATGAAGATGAAGTTCTCTCTATAAGCGGTGGCCTCGTATCTTTCGTCTGCATATACATGATGGATCCACAAAATCCCCGTGGGGTGGAAACCGTCTCCAAAAATGGTGAGCTACTTTCACTCGTGCGTCCCACGAAAACTGTAAGAATACCATCAGAGTCCATTTTACTGGAAATAGCCCCTGAACAGCCATCTTCTTTGGAGTAATGTCCAACCCCACAATTGTGAGTAGCATTAATATAGAGAGCAAAGGTTGCATTCGATTCAATATGTATCCCAGAAAATTTGACTGAAAACTGATGTTCAGAGCGCATTTCTACAAAGTTGGAAAAAACTTTGGTCCACGCTGTCGCTTCACGTTCATGCATATGATGCGACCCCTTCTTGAAAAAGACTTCCACCCGATGTCTTCCAGTTGTATGCGTCATGACAGATAAACCAGTTAGCACTATTGCATCGTGTGCCAAAAGGTCAAACATAATGCCATTGTAAGAACCGTTGCGTTGAGGTCGATACTTCGTTTTGCCCACTTCAAATACACGCAAAACCGTGCTTGTCGGCAAGGTGGGGAGAGAATACAATCCTTGTGGGACCTGATGAGATCCCTCATTATCCACAAGATATAAAGAAGATAACTGTAAAGAAAACCAAATGCGTTTTTCTTCATCATCGCGTACATTGGCTGAATTATTTTCAATCGATACCACTGTGCCTCTTTTTGGTACATTAAGACTCCCTGCCTTAAAAGCCACTCGGGCGTCAACCTTCAGTCGTGTGGAATCTGCAGCAAGAGCACAAAAGCGAACATCTTTGGCCCGCACAGCATATTGTCTCTTCCCCGGACATGGACACAGGCATTCCACAACACCAACGTCATTGCCGTAAGTTCGCACAACTCTTCCCAAATGAGACTTCCCATAAAGCGGAGGAACAATTGTTGCAAACATCCCACGCGTTGAAAAGTAAACTACGAGTTGTTCAGGTTTAAAATTCTGGTGTTTCTTCACTTTGCACATGGCCAGGGGTAATCCATTTCGGTAAACAGCCAACATACTTTGATCCAGTGTAATCGTAAGAGTGTCGCCAATGGCAAAAAGCACCCCAGAGCCTTCTTCAGTCACAATTGGCATGAGTTTCCAAAAAGAGCCCGAGTGTGCCAGAGTTTGGGCAACACTATCAAAAAGAAAAAATGAGGAATTCATGATATCTGTCTCCGGTCCAATGGCGCCCTTTTGAATAAAACCAACAGCCAAAGGTGAAAGACTCGGTTCCACAACACTATTATTTGCAGACAAAAATCCACTCATGGAAGTGACAACACACAAATCACGTGAGTAAATGGCAAAGCGGAGAGTTGTTTCCTCCTCGGCAAGGCCATTACACGATACCACAACAGGATGCATCTGAAGACCCGAAAGAGAGGAACTCACCAAAACAGAAACTCTGTTGGTGTCCACGAGAAGATATAACGTAGTTGAAGATGAAAGTTTCGCCTTGGCATCACACCATGTGCCCCATATATTGTGGTCTGCAATTAAGCGCTCAAGCTCACTCATATTGATAGCTCTATAATCACTTGCAAGCTTTGTCACACCCAGAAATAAACCCGCTTTGTTCAACGATCGACCTTCCTCACTAGCACCAAAATTTAACTCAATTACGACCCGTGTGCCGTGTGGAATTACGGTTGAACTTACAAGAAGCATATCACTCTCCACTCGACGGCTCGATTTC